GTTAGTATAAAAGATCATGAACACTGTTGCTTTTGTGGTATCAAAAATAACATGTCATCTCAGATGCAAAGATAGAACAAGTACTAATTGTTAATAAAATACCAAAAATCCATAACTTGTCGACAAGGACATTGGTGCAGGTGTTAGATCAATTGCTCATTTCTGAACATGACAATTTTGCTTGAATTTGATCAAATAACCTCAGCTTTTGCACTGCATGGTATAGTTTCTATTTATAACATTAGGAACAAATGGAGTTCTTTAAAAGCTGTGTGAAACAATCACACAGCTTGATTGATGACAGGTGAACAGCACATTTGCTTAGTGACAAGAACATTTATAAAACTAAGGAAAATGTTGAAGAATGTTTTCTATAACTTTCTATTGTACATTTGGATTCAACAGCAAATACAAAAGATTAACACCTGAACGTTCCTTAACAGATGTTTTTGTTTTTCATGTTTATTTTCAACACACATTTTCAGACATAAAAAATTCAAAATGAACTGACCCATATTCACCATTTTGCAAGTGTTGAAACATTGTGTAAGAGTTTCACTATAAATCAGTTTCTTGTATTATTCCACATCTATTCTAGACCCAATTACTAAATAACAAATAAATGTATAAGTATTACTCCTTACCAAAAGAGTTTGTGATTTAACTAAACTGTCACTTAATATGTGTTCTACTAAAGAAAGCTTAAAAGCTAGTTTTATTATAACTTTATATGTCTCTAACAATATTTTTCTTGTTACCGTTGAATGTTTCTATCCAGCAGCTGGAGATGTGAGATCAAGTCAAGATGCTTTTGGATGTAATAAACAGTTATTCATTTGTTTTGTGGCAACTTCATTGTATAATGTGAAACTATAGGTACAATAAAAGAAACTTGAATATTCTTAGTCAAAACTGAGCTTCCAACAGAAATGGGTAACTTTCATCAATTTCTTTTAAACAGGAATAATTTCTCTCAGTTCAAAATACATATTCTTTATGTTTCTTTGCAGTTCTGCTCTACTCTGATTGAACATTTCAAAAGTAGTACATTCCAGTATGAATCAAACAATGTCCATTACCCAGACATTGCTTTCAAGAACTGCATTGAATTCAGAACGAAAATCTGGGAAGTTTTCATAGCTGTCTGCTATTTTCAGAGTACTTCCACATGTGTGTCCCATAGGTCTTCTAGTGAACTCTGTCATATCTTGAAATTCCACAAATATACTGTTTGTTACAATAAGATCAGATCCAGTGCAAAATCGCAAAAATTTCTGAAGCTTAATGTCATCCAGCTCTCTTATGAATCTTTTGAGATGATTCTCTACTTCCTTTTGCTTTGGATTTAAATCTACAGCAAATTTCAGCAGCTGACAGACTTTTTTGGAAGTTGGTTGCAGGTCTTTGAACAGCTTGTTCAGTGCCTCTGGGCTGAGGGACAGATGTGGGTAGATGATCTCCCTCCAACAGTCAATGACGAACATTGGTTTTTGGACAAGCTCTTTGTGAGCTATTTCATCAAGAATATTAGGAAAACTTTCAGGAGTGATTCTTTTTCTACAGCCATAATTGTCAAGAACTTCCACAAGATCATCAAGGTCAACAGCAGAAAAATTCTTAACTGCCTCCCTCAAAACTTCACATTCTTGGCTGCTCACAAACTGTAGAAAATGTGCTTTAAGATCGCTGTAAACATTACTGAAAAGCACCTGTTCAAGAAAAGGGATTGCAATTTTATTTGGAAAATACTGACAGTCTCGGTAGCCTTTCAAAAGGATTCGCCCAACTGCCTTCCATTTTTCAGCGGTAAAGTCATGACGGATGAATGGCACTTTCACTGTTGTACCAAGGGTGCATCGCTCATAGAATTCATTCCAGAAGCAAGTGAGAACATCTCTCAGTAATCCTGAGCCTGTGCCTGCTTCTTCTGTGTTGTCTGGAAGTATGCGTTTTACATTCAGTGTTTTTCTCAAAATCCCTTCATCAGAGAAAGCAGTAATAAGGTCATGTAAAGTGTCAGCATAGCGTAGAGTGATCATGATTGCATCTTCTGGATTTGCTGGACTTGGGGGAACCACAAAACCCTCATAGATTAATGTGTCGTCTGTATCTTCCTCAGCATCTAGAATGGGACCAAAAGTAATTTCTGAATCATCTAAAAGTTCTGGACTATGTAGGACTTCAACAGAATTACTCCTGACTTCCACCACCTGCAATGGATTAAATTCACTGCTACTGCTTTCCAAGACAAATACGACTTCAGATGTGTCACTGTTATCTTCTTCTGGATCTTTTGGTTTTGTTGCAATGTAGAAGCGTAACATTGACAGTCTTGCAGCTTCATACATGTTGCCAATAGTCAGGCCAATGTCTTCAGTAAGGTGGCTCTGTTTAAAGTCCCAAACCTCAAACTCAAAATCTGATTCAGGTCCCTTAGGCGATGTGCCATCAGGAAAAAAAAGGGTCTTTCCTTCTTGAAGAATGTCTTTTAATCCAGCATCAGTGGCCATTTGAATTTTTCTAGTGCCACCTCCCTGCTTCGCTCTCACCTGTTTGGTAGTTTTTCCATCATTATGTATCCATCCAATCTCAACATTTTGTGTTCCCCTTTGCTTCTTTTCCTGTTTTGTACTTTGATGTATTGATGTCTCCTTTGGACTTTCCTTTCTGTTCTTCATTTTCTCACGAAGCTTTTGAAGAAGTCCTTGTTTTCTTTTGGATAATGGCTGTTTGCTTCTGCAGTAGTTGAAAACAGCAATTCTGTCTCCATATGAAGGTAAGTAGTTTTCAAGTGTTGCATCGTCCATGAGACCTATGACCTCACGGTCAATCTGCACACAAACAGATGAGAAAGGACAATTATTTACACTGCAAATCAACGTTAAAGTTACCTTTAATAATGTATCCTTAGGTCCCTGCTTAAAGCGATTTACTGTTTAGGGGAGAATTACAGTAATAGCAGCAGAAAATGTTCAATTCTCTATTTTACTGAAAAAGATGAAGGACTGGATTGGTTAGCATGCAAGTATAAAACAGATTTGGAAATATACAGTCAATTTAAGGTAAAAGGCATCATGCATAAAAACACACAAGGTATTGTTAACAGTTCATTTTTTATTACAAAAATTAAACATCACATTAAGTTTGATTTCGTTAAATGAAGCCTACCATTTCCACACCTGTGCAATAAATGTACTGATAGTGTAGCTCAGGGAGTGAGATGTAATTTCAGTCCTGAGCTGACACATCACACAGTGCAGGAAAATTATTTCGTGATTCTCATAATGTAACTTTTTTAAACGCTGTAACACAAACACATGACAAAATAGCATAGTTGGTGTTGGAAAATATAGTGAAGGGATCCTACGATCAGATCTACAGACAGCCGCAGATCGGTGGCTGTATGACTTGCACCAGATCGATGCAAGTCATACATTTTTCTTTTAAATATATGCATATATAAACGTTTCTGTCCTCCACTGAACTAAAAGTTACAGTTTAACACAGCAGACATCTTATTTAGAAGGTGGCTGACATACAGCTAACCTTAGTTTCATTATAAAACATTCAAACAGAAGAACAATAAAATAAACGCATCAAACACTTACTGGACAATTCCAGCAATCAACAGCTGTTACATCCTTTATTCAGCTGTGTGATTTAACATTGTAAATCACGCTTATTCCTATAACCGCGTAAGCTAACAAACATGCTAACAACTAGCCATAACCGTTCGTATTTAGAGACCAAACTATCTCATTTGATTTACTCACCTTTTGTTCTTCCATTAGTGCAATGGAAGCTTCGGGGACTCCTCTGGCACGCAAAAACTCACTTAAATCAGACATCTTTCTCTTTCTCCAGAACGTTAGTTAGCTGTCCGCCACAACTCGCATTTGTGGGTCTGAAGCTGGTTGCTTGTCTGGGTCGCAAGTTTTTTGTTTTTTTGTTTTTTTTCTTTCCCTCTGAATTCTGA